GATGCATTCGCAAGTATTAATAAACACATATGCATATGAAGCTATTAGCATTTTAAAAGCACATGTGACATACTATACATAATTTGCAAGATATTTATATATTTTATTGGCAATATGTTCTGGAGTTTTTTTCTTTTTTTTTTTTGAGACAGGGTCTCACTATGTAGTTGAGATGGATCTGGAACTCACTATGTAGCCCAGGCCGGTCTCGAACTCACAGCAATGGTCCTGCCTCAGCCTCCAGAGTGCTGGGATTACAGGCGTGTGCCACCACGCGCAGCTTGTTTTCTTTTTTTGGTACCAGGAATCCAATTGAAGGCCTCATGCTTGCCAGGCTGGCGCTGCGGTGCTGATCTACATCCCTAGCCCTGGAGGTTTGTTTCATATTTGATATTACTGTATATATTTTCTAGATATGCAATATATTCATATATGCACACATATAAACAAGTTCAGTCTTTAAAATTGCTGCCTAAAACAGTAACAGTGAATTTAGCTATTCTTTTTTTTTTTAATGTTTTTATTATTAATTATACTGGTACATTGTAGGTATTCAATGTGATGACATTCTTCATCATTGGGAATTTATACCTTTACATAATATATCTTGGTAAACTTAGCTATTCTATTACCGACAAACATTTAGACTGCTCTATTTATTTTCTTTGTTTTGGTACCAGGGACCGAACTCAGGACCTTGCGCTTGGGCAGCAGGCAGTGGAACCACTGAGCTACATCCTCAGCCCTAGACTATTTTAAAATAGTATAAAACTGCTTTAAGGAAGAGTTATAAAACTCTGGGACATGGGAGTGTTTCTCCAGTATGGACATGGCAAAGTAGAATCTTAACTTCATAATGTGTGCGAATTTAAGAGACCGGGGGTTTAGCTCAGTGGTGCTGCCACCTGCCTTGCAAGCCCAAGGACCTGAGTTCAATCCTCACTCAGTACCATTAAAATGAGAGACCGGGCTGTAGCTCCGAGCCCCCTGGAAGGGCTGTCCCACACCTTTGCTGACTTTTGATATCAGTGGAGCATGAGTGTCACAGTCGGCTGAGGGTCGGGGTCCGGAGTTCGTCCCCCAAGAGCCCCTTGCGGAGAGAAGGGGACAGGGCTCTGGAACCCGACCCCCACTGGCTCCGCTGCCCGCACCCAGAGGCGCCCTCTCCACCGTTCCCATCCCTTCCAGGATTGGGATGAGGCGCGGCCTGACCCCTACCCACCACGCCTAAAGAAACCTCTCTTGCATCATGTGTTGTGTCTCAGAGAGGCAGAAAGGCGGCTGAGCAAACAACTTAACTTTTTTGCCTTGGTTTCTCCGGGAAAGCCAACTATTCTACAGACGACGGATCACTCTTTTTTTCTATTTTCCTTATAGGACTTTGGGCTTACAGACATATAAACCTGCTGCCAAATACCAGCTCTTTCATTTTCAAGCTATGTGATCTTGGGTCATTCAGTCTTTGGAGTCGTGGTTTCTGTTTTTTAATTTAAAGCCATTTTCCATGAGTGCATGTTTGCAGTCCAAAATGATTCCACTCACGGTGGCGGGGAACGCAGCGGATCTCAGCTCTCCCTCCCTCTCCGTCCTGTTTCTGCCTCTGTCCAACCGAGTCTGCAGGGAATGAAGGAGCAAACTGTGCCCGACCCAGGCCGGTGGTGCTGTGCGCTGTTGCTTGGACTTCAGGCTGTGGGCCTCTTCCTCAGGGGAGTCCCCTGCTGGTACTGGCAGCAGCTCCCCGACCCTGGAAAGCCCAGTACCTAATGTGGTCTGGTGCGGAGCCCGAGGGAAGGAAGCCGAAGGGGCCTCAGATTCTGAGGCAGGGACGCCCCTTCCGTGCTCAGGGCTGGATTCTTTCTTCCTCCTCGGGCCATCCAGACAAACGGATTTATAGTCGGAGCCCTGGCTTTCAGACCCAGCAGCGGGACTTTGGGCAAAGGACTTCGCCTCTCTAAGCCTCCGTCCGTATTTGAGAAATGGGACGCAGGGTTGCTGTGAACACTAAAGAGGTTTTTCCTTACACAGAACACCAGGACATTCCATCTTGTTTGTCTTAAAGATCCAACTTTCCTTATTTTAGTTCCTTATATCACTCTTAAAATATGTAGTAAACATTACTTTTTGGGAAAATAATCCATATATGTTAAAAATAAATGATACAGCTGGGCGTGGTAACGCATGCCTGTAATCCCAGCACTCGGGAGGCTGAGGCAGGAGGATCGCTGTGAGTTTGAGCCCAGCCTGGGCTATATATAGAGAGTTCCAGGTCAATCTGAACTAGATGGTGAGATCCTGTGTCCAAAAAAAAATAAAAATAAAAATAAAAAAAATAAATAAAAAACATACAGTGTTAGAGTACAGCATGCAAACTAAACCTTTCTCCTATCCTGGCCAAAGTGCACCTCTGTTAATAATCTCTTGTGACTTCTTTCGTTTTGTTTTAGAGACAGGGTCTTGCTATGTAGCTCAGGCTGGCCTTGAACTCATGGTAATCCTCCTGCCTCAGCCTCCCGAATGCTAGGATCACAAGTAGGTGCCACCACACCTGTTCTTGTGACTTCTTCCAGGTATGACATGTGCATGTCCCAAAACACACAGGAATAAACACGTACAGGTAACGGCAACAGAGCACAGCTTAACAGAAACGATCTGCCCATGGCTGAATCCTCGCCCTTCTTACACAAAGGCAGTGCTGGGGATTGAATCCAAGCCCTCTGCATTAGGTACATTCGAGCCCTTATTTATTTATAGTTGGGATGAAGTTTTGCTAAAATGCTTAGGCTGAGCTTGAACTTGTGAGCTTCCTGCCTCAGCCCCCAGAGGACCTGGATCACAGGGCACCCCGCTGACAGGCATACTTGCCCATTCTGTCTTTTTTTCGGTACCGGGGATCGAACTTGGGTCCTTGTGCTTGGAAGGCAGGCGGTGGAACCATTGAGCTAAATACCGGGTCCTATGCTTTTTTTTTAAGGGTCTTTCTTTGTAGTTCAGGCTGTCTTTGGATTCTCTATGTAGTCCAGGCTGGTTTCAAACTCAGCACAATCTTTTTGCCTCAGCCTTCGATCCGTCTACAATTGGACAAGTGTATCTGCTGTCACGCGCTGAACGGCCCCACGACTGTGTGATAGTATCGTACTGAACTGTCTTAGTAGCCAGGCGTCTGGCTTATTTCCGGTCTGTACCTATAAAATGGCTACAAGGACTATTGTTACACTGTCTTTGTTTACAAAAGGTTTAACTGTGCAAGATGTGAACCTGTTTTTTCTCTATATCCACGTGCTTGTCATCACCTCAGGAGTGATGTGTTACATTTGGGAAAATCTGATCGGACCGAACAAACCTACGGGTTCCCTAGGGGTGCAAACTTTCCTTACCCACTTAGAAACCTGTTTTAACTTACAGAAATCAGACTGTTCTTGGTGAACCGTGGGTGATGCAGCCGTCCCTTAGTCTTTTTAAACTGCTGCAGTATATGCAATATCCGATGCATACCAGCATTAAAATTTTGCCAACTGGCGAGCATTTTCGGTCTGTAAGTATTCTGCCAGTGAAGACCATGCTGCCGAGAGCGCCTCGGTCCACACCTCTGTAATAAACGTGGCTATCAACAAAGAAGCGTTACTCTCTGCGCACAGTTTTAAAAGCTACTGCCCAATCGCCTTGCAAACAAGAACCTACTCCTTGCAATTCCTTCCAAATGTGACAGTGTAGCCCCGTCCCGCAGAACAGGCCACCAGGGTTAAAAGCCCAATCCGTTAACTTCAAATTCTGCCGTCCCGTTCTCACTCATGCCGGGTGGAGCGGCCTCTTGGGGTGGCCTGGGTGGGCACCTCAGGGGTGCGCCGGAAGGTGGTGCCCAGCGGGAGGAAGACCTGGGCTGAGGCTGCGGCTGTCCAGAGGCCAGCAATGATCAAGCTCAACGAGAGGACCCGCGACTGAGACCGGACACCAGGATGTCACCCCGGTAAGGAGGGGAGGCGAGGGGCGCCTGACGTCCAGGCACCGGCCGAGGCAAGGAAGCGGGAGCACGCGGGTCTAGATGCGCAGCGCAGATTGTCACACCCTTCAAAATACCACAAGCAGGTGGAGCGCAGCCATCGGTTTAAGTGAACACAAGCGGAGGCCATACGGGCAGTCTCTGCGCTGGAAACACTGACCCGAGTCTCTCGACGCGATTTTCTGCAAAAGAAAACAAATCGCAGATCTCCGAGGGTCCAGGCCTGCCGGGGTGAGTTCCGAGGCTGCAGCCCGAGGGTCACGTTCCAAACCACAGCAAAAACTAAGGCGAGACTCGCCTGCAGGGACGCTCGCGGGGCGGCGCACCGAGCTCGGCGTCAGAGCCAAGGGACCCAGCGGGGTCCGAGACGCGGG